ATTCACTAAAAGCAAGTCCAGGCGTGATCTCCCATCTCTCACAGAAGGTAAGTCTAGAGAGAGGCATTTCAGTGTTGCAGGGCAGCGCTCCCAGCTCTTAGGATACGAATCTGAGGAAGCAACCTTGTGTGACTCCGATCAGAAAACCTGGATTTAGGTCTCACCCAGCAGATGGTGAAGGAGAGCAGAGGTGAGAGACACTGAGCTTGGGTGCAAGCCGAACCCCACCTCTAGAAGGTAACTCCCTACCCCTTACTAGCCATCAACCAGTCTAATCAACAGGACACTTCTGGCTGAGGCAGGCTGTTACTGTGAATGCAACTGCACTGAAATGTAATATGTCTGAACGTTACAGCCTGATCATTTAGTAATCAACAGTCCACTGGGCCTTTACAGTCTATCCCAGCATGGACAACACATCTTGAATGCCTCAGTTCACTTTGTCTTCGCAGCTTGCGACAGTGTAAATCCAATTGTTTGAAGAGCAGCAGCACATGCGAGTTGTCCCAGCTCATGTAGCTTGGAAGATAATCTGGACTGTTGTTGGTTTTGTTGATTTGGTTTCCTTTTTTTTTTTTTTTTTTGAGCCAGAGGCTCATATTTCGAGCTGGCCTGTAAGAGTTTGATCTTCCTGCCTCCGGCACCTGAGTGCTGGAATTACAGGTCTGACTCCAGGGTCCACACTGCTGGAGGACTCTTCTGCTGAAAAGCTAGCTTTTCTCTGCATGGCTCACGAAGTCAACGTGCTCACCAGAAAAGGACCTTGGTTTTCACAAAATGTTGATGCTTACTGTGTGCAGGCATTGCTCCTGCCGGTCCAGAACTTAACAGCAGGGAGAGGCATGTGTGAGAGAGAAGCACACATTCGTATCTAATCGTGAATACAAATTACAAAGAGCCAGACCTGATGGCACAGGATTGTGAGCCCAGCTACTCGGGAGGTTGAGGCAGGAGCTCACCAAATTCAAAATCAGCCTGGGCTAGAGTGAGCATAGGGCCATCCCCAGCCATTAGTGAGATCCTACCTCAGATTTAAAAATACTAGTAACCTATAGAGGGGGCTGGAGAGCTCCCTCAGAGAGTTCAATTCCCAGCAACCACATGGTGGTTCACAACCATCTAGAATGAGATCTGGTGCCCTCTTCTGGCATGCAGGCATACATGTAAGGCAGAACATTATATAATAAATAATAAATAAATTAATAAATAAATAGTAAAACCTCGTTAAAAAAAAAAAAAAGCTATAGAGAAGTTGATGCTTTGAGAGCGTCTAATAGAGAAAAAGCCAAGAGCTGCCAGCACTGACACACGGGAGGCGCCAGCAAGTGGAAGAGGAATCAGCACAAAAGGACCACAGACGAGCTGAGGCACCCGCAAAGGGGCAGGCGCCCTGCTGACCTGAGAAGTGGCCCCGGCACAGCTCCAGGCTCTCCCCGCCCCCCAAGCAGAGCCGAGGCGAGGGGCAGAGGGGAGAGTGTACGGTAGAGCCGCAGCCTGACCAGGCATCGAAGCTGCCTGGCTGCACACTGGCACTCACCTCACTCCGTAGGTTGCCCGCACAGCCCTGGGAAGCAGGAAAGCCACTCGCTAAACGCCCCGGAAGTGGGAAGTAGCGAGCCCCTGTAGGAACAGCGGAGGAGTATATTCTGCGGCTGCATGTGCTCTTTAGGGGGTCGCCTGCTATTGAGGGGTGTCCTGGGAAAAGGCAGTGTCTAATGCATGATAAAATTGCAATCAAAGATTACAATGAACCAGATCTTGAAAGCTGAATCAAGTCAATGCATGGAGGAGACTATTAGGTTTTCAGAGTGTGTCCAATATCCGTATTTTTCAATATGGACACCATTGGCCATATGAAGCTATTGATGACTTAAAACACATGTGTACTTTCCCCTCAAATTTATCTGGCTGTAATGGACCATTAGTCGGTGAGTCTTTCTCAACTTTATGAAGATCATTGTTTTGAGAGCTCTAACTTTCCTGAGTGTCAGGAAAGAATTAAATCAAAATACTGGTGTTGAGCCTAATACAATACCTAAGCCGGGTTTTAAAAACCCTTCAGAATGGTTCTTTCCAGATTCAGTTTGTGAACAACACACAGGCCTTCCAGCAAAGCTGGTAATTTATATGCATTGCTTATTTTTCTTAAAAGCATGACTATAAACAACCCATAGCATAGTGTTGCTGCTGTTTTCTCTGGCACGAGTTCTATTCGTGACTGAGCTTTGTACAGTGTATACATGATACATGACTCCTCTGAGGGCATCTCTTTACTTGCCCATGAATCTCCAAGCTGAGAGGTCTTAGGTTTTTGAAAACCATTCTAAATGTCCTGTGTACGCTTTAGCACGGTGTCTAACGTAGTCCTAAAAAAAATCAACTAATGCTATCGAGGCATGCTGGCACATGCCTTTAATCTCGGCACTTTGGAGGCAGAGGCAGGTGGACCTCTGTGAGTTCCAGGCCAGCCTGGTCTTACATAGTGAGTTTCAGAACAGTATCCATATAAAAGAGACTCTGTCTCAAAAAACTAAAACCCAATGATGATACTGTTAACCCAAGGTTTCATTCCATGACTTTGTGGTTCAGCTTACACTTGTGGCTCCTTGCCTGGCTGTGTTCTCCTCCACTTTACTCCTATCTTCCTTTCTCCCTTGTCGGTATCAGATTCCAGCATTACACTCATTGACATGAGCACTATAAGACTATCTGACCAATTCCTACTCTTGTGTAAGCCAGTTTCCCACAAGTATATACATACAACACATACATGCTGCTACTATGGCGCTGCTCTGGTTGAACCATGATACTATAGCAGTAAAGAACATCATTTCATGACAAAATGGGGTGTGATGGTGCACACCTAAAATCTCATAACTCCAGAGCCTAAGGTAGGAAGACTGCCGGGTTCAAGGCCAACCTGGGTTGCATAGTGAGCTCCAAGTCAGACCGAGCTATATAAATAGATCCTGTCTCAAAACACACACACACACACACACACACACACACACACACATACACAGAGAGAGAGAGAGAGAGAGAGAGAGAGAGAGACTGAAAGATGGTTCAGTGGATAAGGCACTTGCTGCCAAAGCTAACGACCTAATGACTTGAATTCAGTTTCAGGGACTCAACAAAATGCAAGAAGAGAGCCAACAACTTTTCCTCTAACCTCCATGCTATGTTATGGCATGTGCAAAGACACATACACACTAAATAAATAATGTAATTTGAGAGAGAGAGAGAGAGAATCAGAAGTGAGCCAGGTCTAGTGACCCATGCCTGGAACCCCAGCAACTCAGCAGACGCAGGCAGGACTGAAAATTCAAGACCTGAGCCTTGGCTGGTTGGTCATATGTCAACTTGACACAGCTGGAGTTATCTGAATGAAAAAATGGAGAAAATGCCTCCGTGAGATCCAGCCAGCGGGCATTTTCTTAATTAGTTATTAATGGTGGAGGCCCAGCCCACGGTGGGTGGTGCCATCGCTGGGCTGATGTTCCTGAATTCTATACGAAAGCAGGCTGAGCAAGCCATAAAGTAGCACCCCTCCATGGCTTCTGCATCAGCTCCTGCCTCCGGGTTCCTGCCCCATTTGAGTTCCTGTCTTGACTTCCTTCGATGATGAACAGTGATATGGAAGTGTAAGCCAAATAAGCCTTTTCCTCCCGACCTGCTTTTGGGTCACTGATGTTTCCGTCGCAGCCACAGAAACCTTAACTACGAGGGGGGGGGGGGGGGGGGGGGGGGGGGGTGGTGGTGTATGCAATAGACAGCTGGGGATTCAGTTCGTTAGAGGAGTATTTAACTAGCATGTTGAATTCCCTGTGTGGATGAATGGCAAGAAAGAATAGAGGAGGGGGAGGAAAAAATAGGTATAAACTCAGGAGTTTCACTTAGGAAAGTGATTAAGTTCTGGGGAGGATAGAAGAGGAGAAACAAACAGATATAAGAGAGAAACGAGTCACGAAGAGTTAATAATTGGTCAGGAAACAAAACAAAACAAAACAAAACAAAACAAAAAAGCGGCCCTAGAGAGTTTTCCCCATAGAGGATAGATTATGACATTCACCTCAAGAACCAGTAAACCGCAGCCAAGCATGAGCTTTGGGTCAAGCTGGTTCCTTATACACTAAAGCTGGGAGCGGCTTTGGGTAACTTCCCAGGTTCCTAGTGAACGCAGCACCTGGGTGAGGATGCACCATAGAGCTGTGGTCCTCCCACATTTCTAGAGCGGCCGAGCAAGTGTTGCCGGCAACGTAGAGCTGCGACCCTCCCGTATTTCTAGAGCGGCCCAGCGAGGGCTGCCTTCATGCCTTGCGTCCAAGAGGTCGGTTGAGGGATTGTGAGTGGTGGTAACTGACAGGCGTTTTCTCCAGCGGTGGAGAGTCAGAGTGGCTTCTTCGGCATGGAGAGCGGGTGAGTTCATGGCCTAGTGTTCTGTGGACAGAAGTCTGTGCTCACTGGGCCTTCGATTCAACTGCTTGAACGTCCGAAATGTTGGGGTGCTGGTGGAATAAGGAAGTGGATGAACCCACATTAATCAGCCTGCGGAGCTGGAAAAGAGATACCCGACTTGTGAGTGTTAGAATCTAAGAAAAGACAGAGACTAGCATAATCTTGATTTCTAAAGTAAATATTGATTTCCCTCCCTGAATTACCGTTCCAGTTGCACTCCTAGTTTAATATTATTAATTTCCAATCCTGGTTTGAACATCTCTGTTTTTGTAAGGGAAATTATATCGGAGAGGGTTAATGCCCAACTCCTGGGTGATTGGAAGGGAAGCTGTCACCAAGAGGAAAAGCACATGGAAGCTAAATAAGGTTTTTCTCCACTTTTTTTTTATATCTAGAAGCTCTAGTCTCAGAAATGACATCTGTCCTCTGCACAATGGTTCCCATGTGAGCTCGGGGCTACCACGTTGCCTGCTGACTTCAGACCATTCTGTGGACAAGAGCATCCTACAGAAGAAGTGGTAATTCTCCAGCTGGTTTCTGAGATGTCCCGTTGTGCCCCATGGCGGCTTACTGCGGTGATGGCAATATTCTATGAATTTAATCCTTTGAAAAACACATTTCTGCCATTTTCATGACAAAGCTGGTTCCAAGCAGTTAATCTGCCTCCAGCACACACTAACTGATCCCTCCCCAGGAAGGGTTACCTTAGTTGTTATGTAGTGTTTACTCTGGTTGTTGAATCTTCAGGCAATGAGATGAGAATTTGTAATGGGTGTGTCCACCTTGGAGAGAGGAGATCCATATTTTTGAAGCTGTGTATCGCCTTTATTCTGCTGCCATGACCATTCTGTACATGAATCAACCATGCCAGCCTTGGAATAGAGGCTGATTGGCATTGTACTTGGGTATTCCTCTCTTCCTTCTTGAGTGGCTTCTTTGCAATGGATTCTCTTTGTTGAAAATGTACAAGGTATACAAATATATTTGCACACTTTGTCCATTCCAGGAGTTATCCTTATGCTTCTTCCAGAATCCTTGTTTCTTTCTAGACTCCCAATTTTGCTCTTTCCATGTAATGGATAACTGATTTTAAGGTTTTTTTGTTTTGTTTTAGTTTGGTTTGGTTTGGGTTTTTTGAGACAGGGTTTCTCTGTGTAGCCCTGGGTATCCTGGAATCACTCTGTAAAACAGTCTGGCCTCGAACTCACAGAGATTAGCCCATTTCTACCTCCCAAATGCTGGGATTAAAGGCATGCTCCACCACTCTCTAGCTTAACCAGTTTTGTTTCTAAAGTTCTCTTTGTGGAAGAATTTTCTTTCACCAGTTTGAGTGCATCCCTGAGTGGAAATATGAGTGAAAGTTTGTAGGCCCATCTGCCAACCTGTTCTGAAATCACTTGTATATGGAATTGACTTATCTTGTGAACTTGATTTTTCAATGGAATGCTGGTTTGTGTGTCCAGTTTTAGATTTAGTTGGTCAAAGCCAACTAAATTGCTAGTATATAACAAGCAGTCATAATATGTAGCCATTTAGTATTCTGCAATCAAGAAGTGTCCATTGGTGCCTAATAAATGGTAACCCAGGATTTGTTTTTCACTTAGAAACTATTATTGGCAGAAGCACTGCTCCACTGAGGTCTCTTACAAATCTTTCATGTATCTCTGACCATCACCTCTAATGACACTAGTTATCCTTGGCATAAGGTCAAATCTCACTCTCAAAAGTAGCAACGCTAGCCAGGTATGGTCGCATACACCTGTAATCCCAGCACTGGTGATCCTGAGGCAGGAGGTCTGCCGTGAGTTCAGAGCCATCTTGGGCTACAAGGTGATTTCAAGGCCAGCAAAGGCCACAGTACAGGACCATGTCTCAAACGACACAAAAATAAAAGGATGGAGGAGCCAGGTATAGCAGCCAATCCCTGTCTTCTCAGCACTCCAGAGTTGAGGCCTGGAAGGGTTCCCATGAGCTACAGAGTATCTCACAGAACAACAAAAGTAGCAAACAATTTAGTCATATTAGGTGACAGTGAGATGGCTCAGAGCCACACTTAGCACTCAGTGTGGTAACCTGAGTTTGAGACCCAGGACCCATGTGGTAAAAGGAGAGAGCCATCTAGCTAATTTCCAAAGTTTACCCTCTGCCCTGCGGCCTCATTTGACCTACTTAAGGCCTTATCTCTAAATACCAGTCACTTTGAGAGTTAAGATTTTAGCATATGAACAGTGGTAGAGAGAGACACAATTCATTTCCCAACACATGCAAAACCAAACAATATATTTTTTTAAATACCGACATTTGGTAAATATCTCAACAAAGCTCAGGATGAGTTCAGCACACACATTACTAGACTAGGTGGAGAAAAAGGTTGGAGGATCACAGGAACAGAAAGCATGCTGGGAATTCTAAGAAAATTCCTGGTAATTTTGTTTTTCTTAAACTAAATGGGAAGTTTACTTTCATTTCATTTTTTTGCTTGTTTTGTTTGTGTGATTCATTGGGTTTTGTTTGTTTGTTTGTTTGTTTTTGAGACAGGGTTTCTCTGTGTAGCCCTGGTGATGCTAAAACTCACTCTGTAGCTCAGGCTGGCCTCGAACTTAAAGATCCACTTGCCTCTACCCTCTGAGTGCTGGAATTAAAGGTGTTTTCCACCATGTCCCAGCTAGTTTCATTTCTTTGAATTGTATATATCTGTACATATATGAGTAGATGTATATATAATTTTCTGTGTATAGAATACTAATAAACTTAAAAACACTAATATTTGATATGTTTAGATTTAAATATATATGCTTATTTTATTTTCCTTGATTTTTTTTTATACTTTTATTCATCATTTGTGTCGTTTTCCATTGTAAGGCCTTTTGCTTTTTTCATTCTCTATTATCACAGTTTTTCTTAGATGTGTTTCTATAAATGAGTGAAGCCCCAATGCTCTAGCCACTGCAAGTAATGTTTTACCATTTTTCATATATATCATTTACAAAATAATTTTAGATCCATCATTTACCCATTTTGTATGCAAATATGTTTTATCACCGCATCCTAGCAACAGAAAGCTAACTCCTGAAGACATTGGTACCAGGCTTGGGGTGTTGCGGTGATAAACTCAGTGACCTAAAGCAGCGTGGAGCAGAAAGAGTCTTTCAGCTTACAGTTTACAGTCCATCACCAAGGGAAATCAAGGCAGGAATCTAGAGGCAGCAGCTGAAGCAGAACCCTAGAGGAAGGCTGCTCACTTTTGCTTGCTCTCCATCTTGTTCGGCTTGCTTTCTTAAACCACCTAGGATCACCTGCCCAGGGTTGGCACATGCACTCGCGTGCGCGCACACACATGCACATTAGGCTGGGCCCTCCCACGTTAATCATTAATCAAGAAAATTCCATATATATATATATATATATATATATATATAATTTTATTTTATTTTTTTGCCTATAGGCCAACATGATGGAAGCATTTTTCTCAATTTAAGTTCCTTCTTCCCAGATGACCTTAGCTTGTATCAAGTTGACCAGAAATTAATTGGCACAAGTAGCACACATGAAATACAGGCCAGGCATAGATGAAAGACATGACCCTTGAGAAAAGGTTGTTAGAGGCTCCAGAAATGAAGGAAATGAATAGGAATAAGTAATACATATGTTGACCCAAGTGTATGGTCAGCTGAGCAATAAATATTTTTCTACTTTTTGCCTGTAAATGAGGCGGTAGTGGGGAGGTGATTGCAGGCCAGATTCAGGAATCATATTGGTGATGGTCAGCTTGAAGTGTCAACTGGATACAACCTATACTACCTGAGAATAGAGTCTCAGTCATGCTTGTGGGATTGTATATATTGGGTTGGCCTATAGGCACGGATGGGCTAACCTTTCTTTCCTAAGTAGCTTGTTGGCAAGATATTTCAGCAATGGAAATGAAACTAGAACAATATTATTCAAAGATAGCTGTCCAGATTTCCAGTCAGTTGGCCGGAGGTCCTTTGGCACCACTCAGAAAAACTCATATGTAGGTGAAGAGAAGCCTGCTGAGTGCTGGTCCCCAGCAGCCATTATGCCCCTCAGTGTATGGCAACAGTGAGCAGCAGGCAGGAGATAAGTAGAGTAGGCTGCAAAGGACATCACTTCCACTACAGTCTTTGTGCAGGCCTTTTGTGTATTGCAACCTTTAACCCTTAACACCTGGCAATGTTAAAACTCTTAAGCAGTAGGCCCCAAAGACTTGATACTGAACTGCCCTGGCGGTTCTTCCTGAGCTGACGCTGGGACTCTGAAGGGGAAGAGCAGGAATGAGAAAGGAAGAGTTAAAAACTGGGGTGAAGAGGGATGCAATGGCTGATGTCCCAAGGAAGCACGTTTATTAGTATCACAGCTCCTTGTGTGATCCTCAAATGGAGAAGCAAAGCACAGGTCCATAAAGTTCATCAGGCAGCAGAAGTCCTGTGAACTCAAAGGTCCTCAGTTCCTCTTTGCAAGGCATGTGCTGGTACAGAAAGCAAAGCGTCTCACACCTCTGTCTACAACATTTGACCACAGCTTTACAGTGAAACTGTCAAGAGCCCCGTGACCAGTCCACTGCCACGGGGACCCTGGCAGGTAACAAAGTCCAGCATTCCTCCCATTCCATCCGCAGAGTTTCAGAGGGCCTCTGGTTCTACCTCGTCCCCCACATGCTAGCTCTCTCAAACTGTTCGAGCAACCAATACCTGCAGTTTTCCTTCTTCTGCTCCTTACTGCCTTTCATTCTTGCGCTCAGCTCTCTGTCCTCCCTTGCTCTGTCCTCCCATTGCCCTGCTTCCTGCCCTGGCCATGTTTGTTTAGCAGCTGCTTCAGAAAGCAGCCTTTCTTGCCCATTAGCAGCTCAGCCTGCCACCAACAGCCAGGACCCCTGTCTGCTCTTTTAATGTCTCTATTGTTGCGCTTTGTGGTGCCAACTCAGCCCACACTACGGAAGGTAGGCAGGAAAGGATAGTTGAATGAAAGGTGTGTCAGGCCTCATGTTACACCAACATAGGGGCAGGAGAAAAAACATCTCTGAGTAGCTTGCTTATTTCAGCTAAGAGCAGCTGTTTAAGCCAATCAGTTTTTTTTTTTTTTTTCTTTTTTAATTTGGACCAGCTGCAGCGATTTGTTTGGACCAGTGACAGCCTTGCCTCTCAGTGGCAAACACAGTAAGGTTTAGCCGTACTAGTTTTTTTTTTTTTTTAATATTTATGTATTTATATCTTATGTACATTGGTGTTTTAGCCTACATAGATGTCTGTGTGAGGGTGTCAGATCCGCTGGAACTGGAATTAGAGACAGTTGTGGGCTGCCGTGTGGGTGTTGGTCCTTTGGAAAAGCAGCCACGAGCCACCTCTCCAGCTCCCTCAGCCTTACTTTTTAGCACCAGTCATGGCCGTCTCTCTCCTGGACCACCAGGGCACGTGCACCTCCTCCTGGATGATGATGCTTGCAGAGTCATAAAGAACACACTGAGGCTGTGATAAAACCTGTGGTCAAAATGCCTTCAGGCAGCGCGGGCTGAGCCTGCGCAAATAGCTGTGATTTTTTTAGGGTTTTTTTTGAGGTGCCTGTGGAGTGTTAAAGATTGTTGCAGAGATCATGGCCGATAAGGGTCATCCAGTGTCCAGCTGGTTGTCTGATAGTTTTTAACTCAAAGGGGACAGGTGTCAACATCCTGTTGTGTTCACAGGAAAATAAATGTAAAGACTTTACCACTGACACTAACAGTGGTTTTTAGCACGTTTTGATAGTACTTAGCACCTTCCTGTTGGCTGGAGATAGCTAGATGAAGGAGCTGTGCTGAGGAGCAGGTGCTGAGCTCTCAAATAGTGCCCAGCTGTGTTGTCGTAGCCAGTAACTGTCCTGTCGGGAGACTGTCTCACCAACTGAATGGCTACCTTACCTTCAGACCCATTCTCTTGTATCACCAGTAACTGCATCCTGAGTATATGAAAGTTCCCCCCGCCTACGCATATACCTGAGCTGCATAAAAGGGAGGAGGTTTCTGATTATTAGGGACAGAAATTGGGTGAATTACTAGCACTTTGGCTACTTTGCTTAGATGGAGTTGATTAGCCTACTGTCCAAGGAAAACTAAAACACAGTCTGGTGATTTATGTGCTGAGCAGTACAGAACTGATGGTCACTTCCTACGAGTTCTGGCTGAAGAGCCAGATGCTGAAGAATTCAGAGCCAAAAGGCAGGCGCCAAAAGGAGACCGCTGCCAGAGAGTTCTGCTGGGGTCACACTGGAGAGTCAGTCCTGCCGGGGTCACACTGGGGGTCTGGCCTTGTGAGCCAGGTGCAGTCATTGGTGCTGAGGCAGCAGTGCTCTGGAGGTCAGCGCTGAGCTGGCCCTGAAGGCTCAGGTGGTGAAGAGCAGGTTCTGGAGGTCACTTGAAAGAGTTCTATGCTGAGGCAACAGGCTCTTTAGAGTTCAGGGCTGAGGCAACAGGCTCTTTAGAGTTCAGGGCTGAGGGAACAGGCTCTTTAGAGATCTGTGCTGAGGGAACAGGCTCTTTTGAGTTCAACACTGAAGCTGACTGAAGAACTGGGAGAATTACCGCTAAATAGACTCCAGAGGAGCCTGGAGTCTAGGGCTGAAGAGTTTTCTCTGACAAGTAGGGTCATAGTTCATACTCTTTGGGAGCAAAAGAGTTGAACAGTGAGGAAGAGCTAGCCAGGCAATTGCTGCCCTTGCTGTAGTCTGGGCACTCAAGCAAGCTTCCCACGGGTTTGGCTTGACTTCTAAGGGAAGTGATGATCCTTCCAGACATGCTTGCCTCTGAGTCCACAGCTCCCGTGGTCACCCAAAGAAAGAATACCACTTATCTATGAGTATTACAGTATTACAGGGGAAACACTGGGCACTGAAAAAGTCAAGCAGGAATGGAGTTGGAATGACACAGGAAAGAGGGAGTTGGGAGGGAAGGTTATATGAGAAAGTCATATAGAAACTCAGTACTTTGTAAACCAATTTAAAAAAAAATAGAAGGAAGACATTCTGGGTGTCTGGATAATGCTGCTCCTAGAAGAAAAATCCTAATGCTAGGTCTGGAAGGAATACCTTCTTATGAGTACTTGGCTAAGGGACCCCAGAGGTTCCCCAAACAACATAGACTGGCCATTCCTCATGGTTAAGATCCAGAATTAAGATACAGAATTAAGATCCTGTAAGACAATAAATCCTATTGCCAAAGTAATGATGTACTTCTGTTACAAGAAAGCAAATTGAAAATAAGCTGGAATTTTGCTCACTACTGGCTAGCTTTCAGAGTACCTCAAGGTGCTGTGTAAGCTACTTGGGAGCTAAGGCTTCAGAAGTCTTACTTTGCTGTGAACCCTACAAACTACCGTGCTAATTTGCCAAGCAAGATGGGGCCAGCAGCACAGTAGCAGCACAGCCGTTGTGAAGGTAAACAACCACTAGGATTAGGTTTGAGACCTGCTCCAACAAGACAAAATAAATGCCTGACAATATCAAACCGCATCAAAAATTCATGGCTAGGGAGTAGACTCTACTGAATGCTACTGTGGTTTAACAAATTGACATGGCACCAGACTTCAGTCTAAATATTTAAGTTTATCCCCTTTATTTTATTTTAGTTTTTACTCTTATTTTTTTAATTTTGGGACAGAGTTTCTCTGTATAGCCTTGGTAGACCAGGCTGGCCTGGAACTCACAGAGCTCTGTCTACCTCTGCCTCCCTTAGTGCTAGGATTTCAGGTATGCACCACCGTGCCCAGCTTGTGTCCTGAATTTTTCAAGTCTTTCTTTGGAGGCTGGGGAGATGGCTAAATGATTAAGAGTGCTTGCTGTTCTTCTAGAGGACCCAAGTTTGGCTTCCAGCAGCCATGTGGGACAATTCACAACTACCTATAACTCCAGCTCCAGATCTGACACACTCCTCTGGATTCTGAGGACTCTTATACACGTGCGGCACCAGCACATACACACAAATACACATATTCTTTTAAAGTGCACTGGCACACATGTAAAAAAAAATGAAACCATCTTTGCATCAAAGTTGATTGCTTGTTACTCTCATTGATGTGTGCAGTTTGAGAAAGGAGAAACAACTTGGCCATTTCAATACTCTGACCGCCTTGTTTGTGATGCCAAATTTAGTTCCATTTAAAGAAGATAATAAAAAGTATCAGAGTTCTTTTGCACTAGATGTATGTTATTACATAGAAATTGAGTCTAAACTGATTACTGTACTGGAAATTACATGACTTTTTGTACAGGGTATTTAGAACACAGTTCTAAACATGTTTTGTGCATGTCATAACAATTTTATACTGTTTCTTAAAGGTAGACACAAGAAATTGAAGGATTTTCATTATTTTTTCTTTAGCACCTTACTTTTAGCTGAAATACCTGAACATTGCTAGATAAAACCCAACCAACTTCCTTTTTCTACACTTTCTATGCTACTTGATTTAAGTGTATCAATAAGTTATTAGCTCAAATTTAATTACAGTTTTATGATAGTGACTCAATTTCAGTATTCTAGTTCTCCTGTGAAAATCAGACCTTTGTATTCGATAAGTCCTTTCTACAAACCTGTGGTCTATTACTTGCTGACTCGTCCCAGTTTTCTTCAGTATTTTTTAATGTTGGGGAGCCTCTCATTTCACTTGCAGTCCATCAAACATGTGCCACCTTGTAGCACATCCTCCCCCTTGCTGTGGCATCTATACGTAAGTACTGACGTGCTTCACCTGGAAATTTCTTACAACATGGAGCACATTTCCCATTTGGATTTTGTTTACTGTTCCAGATGGTGAGATGAAGATCAAGATTGGAGAGCCAGCTTCAGAGGAGGAAATGACAGGGCAAATTGAAGCATTGACTGAAGAGTCTGTCAGCCTCAAGGAGGATGTTCTCCAGAATCCCCAAGGCAAAGAACTCTGTGAATTTGGGGATGAATTGAATGACCAGACGCTCTTTAAAAGACAGTATAACTGTGATGAATGTGACCAAAGCTTTGCTTGGAATACAGGTCTTATTAGACACCAAAGAAATCACTGGGAGAAACCTTATGAATGTGATGAATGTGGCAAGGCCTTTCGGATAAGCTCAGCCCTGGTTTTGCATCAGAGAATTCATACTGGAGAGAAACCCTATCCTTGTAATTGGTGCGTTAAAAGTTTCAGTCGGAGCTCAGACCTTATTAAACATCAAAGAGTCCACACTGGTGAAAAACCTTACCAATGTGATGAATGTGGGAAAGCCTTCAGTCAGAGCTCAGATCTTACCATACACCAGAGGATCCACACAGGAGAAAAGCCCTACCAATGTAGTCATTGTAGTAAAAGCTTTAGCCAGCGCTCAGGCCTGGTTAAACATCAGAGAATCCACACTGGAGAGAAGCCATACATGTGTATCCAGTGTAGCAAACATTTCAGTCAGAGCTCTGACCTCATAAAGCATCAGAGAATCCACACCGGGGAGAAGCCATATAAGTGTAATGTGTGTGGGAAAGCCTTTAGTCAGAGCTCCGACCTTATTCTGCATCAGAGAATCCACACTGGGGAGAAGCCATATCCATGCGCTCAGTGTAACAAAAGTTTCAGTCAGAATTCAGACCTGATTAAACACAGAAGGATCCACACTGGGGAGAGGCCGTATAAATGTAGTGAATGTGGGAAGGCTTTCAACCAGAGCTCAGTCCTTATTCTGCACCAGAGAATTCATACTGGAGAAAAGCCCTATCCATGCAGTCAGTGTCCCAAAACCTTCAGTCGGCTCTCCGATCTCACCAACCACCAGCGAGTTCACACTGGTGAAAGGCCGCACCCGTGCAGCCAGTGCGGGAAAATGTTCAGGAGAAGGTCAGACCTTGTTAAACATTACAGAACCCACACCGGGGAGAAGCCCTATGAATGTGAGGAATGCGGGAAAACCTTCAGCCAGAGTTCCAACCTCATTCTCCACCAGAGAATCCACACTGGGGAAAAACCATACCCCTGCAGTGGTTGTTTTAAAAGTTTTAGTCGCCGTTCAGATCTCATAAAGCATCACAGAATACATACTGGAGAAAAACCATATATATGTAATCTGTGCAATAAAAGTTTTAGTCAAAGTTCAGACCTCACTAAACATCAGAGAGTACATTCTGGTGAAAGGCCCTACCATTGTGATAGTTGTGACAAAGCCTTTAGTCAGAGTTCTGACCTCATCCTCCACCACAGAGTTCACACGGGAGAAAAACCGTATGCATGTGCAGAGTGCACCAGAAGTTTCAGTCAGAAGTCAGACCTCATCAAACACCAGAGAATCCACACTGGAGAGAAACCATATGAATGCAATGTGTGTGGGAAGGCTTTCAGTCAGTGCTCAGCTCTTACTCTCCATCAGAGAATCCACACTGGAGAGAAGCCATACCCATGTGCTCGATGTGGCAAAAGCTTCAGTCGGCGCTCTGACCTCATTAACCATCAAAGAATCCACAATGATGAAAAACTACAACTCTGATCCCTGTGGGAAACCTTCAGCACTGTGAGCGATCTTCCTGAACATCAGAGGACCCATGGAGAAGAAAAGTTCTACCCTTACTTTCAGGGCAGCAGATGCTTTAACAAACCTGATCTTGGTGATTTTAAGCAAATCCATCCTACCGGGTGGTGGTGGCACGCATCTTTAATCTCGGCACTCGGGATGCAGAGGCAGGCGGCTCTCGTAAGTTCGAGACCATCCTGGTCTACAGAGCAAGCTACACAGCCAGGGCTACATAGAAATACCTGCCTTGGCGGGAAAAAGGAAGAAGAAATGAGAAGTGAGGAGAAGGAAGAGGAAAAGAAGATCCATTCTGAGGGGAAGACTGCATGCATAAATGTGATAAATTTGGGAAAACCCGTAGTATACAAATTCAGACGTCATATAAGAACATAATCTTCTCAATGCTGTGATGACATGAAAAAGGTTTTAATCAAACTCCAACCCATGTTCCACTTAAAAATGTTGGAAGATGAATTTTGTGGCAATTTAACTTAGACCTGAGAATTACTGATATTAAGGAAATTCTGAGGAGTTCTGGGAGTTGTGTGAAAACCTTCATGGTTTATCTTTTTTTTTTTTTTTTTAAAGAAAACGAAGCTAGAAATTCTTACCTTTGCTATAATCTAAGAAAAATCTTTTATTGAGATACAATTCACAAAGATTTATATCATTATAAAAATGTATAACATTAATGCAGAATTTATCAATTTTTAAAATGTGGAAAAATCTCAAATGTCAGAGGGAAATATATTCATCTTAGAATCTCAAACTTTACTGAGTCTAAATTGCCAACTACATATCAGAAGTTATTTTAGAGAAGGTAAGGAAACTGTAAATCCTGTAATTAAAATAGTGCTAACCCTGACAGCACACATGTGCCCGATGCTCATGCTGAGCATCTATAAATTCCCTGTGTAACCCCGTGCCACTTTTGTCTCAGGAATTTGTAAAGAAATGTATGTAAAAACTTGACTATTTTTCCATCTATTGAACAAAAATGCAACTGCGGTATTGCAGTAATGTAAATACAGTAGTTCTGTAGTACCACAGAGGATGTCCCAAGGCATAGAACTTTATCAGTCAGCTGATAATCTTGCTAAATTCAGTTAGACCATGATTAGGCAAAGTGCATCACCCCTGGTGTTAGTACTAGAGTTTTTCACTTCCTAACTCTAACAGCTCCAAACTTTTGAGTGTCAGTGACTCAAATCCTAGTGTTATTGTCTTGGCTGATCTTCTTACAGCCTGCCAGAACCATCACTTAGCAGCAGTTCTTGTCATTTTGTCAATAGAGATAGCTGTTCCCATCACTGGTAATAAGCTACTTTCAGTGATAACAGCCCTAAGGGAACCAGTCAGCCTGCTTTATCCAGAAATCATAAATATGCAAAAGCATCCAGAGAGATGTCATTGGTATTTGTGCTTTAGCAATGCATGGGCTGACCAGATGAGGAGAGAAGGGGCAGATTGTATAGGCAAAAGGAATAGACTTTCATGGTGTCCTGTTGATGAACCGCAGATTTTATGCAATTGTAGGTTGTGAGCAGGGGAGGGAGGAGTGCTTTATTGATATGAATAGAGACAACTGAAGTGGCTAAAGGATGGCAGCATCAGCTGGTAGAAACCTGCTCTACAGGCAGAGCGAAGCCTCACTGCGGTTCTTGTGCATTTCAGAAGATGCTGGCCTTCTGTATCGCTTGGTCGGTATTGCATTCCTAACACCATTTCCTTGCTTAAACACTTACTGTGCAGTGTGTCTATAACTTGCATTTTGAGATTCCAGAATAATACATTTTTCTCTTCACAATTTCACAAAAGATTCATTCTTACTATAGACCTAAAAATATCCTCAGAAGTTTTTTCTTCCCTCAAATGAAAACCTCCTTTTTCACTTACAGATGATAATGCTGTCTTCTCTTCCTATCTTAATTGTCAGCGCCATTGCCATTGTTCAGTAAAGCAAGGATTATTTGAACATAAGCAATGGGAGTACAGAGACTGAATCTGATGACCCAGACAGCTACCAAGTGAAGAATAATACGTGCAAAATGGACACTCAGGAGAAGGCACTGTTTCACATGCTAGAGGCTGTACAGAAAGGAGGATTCAAGGTTTCACCATATTGCTCAGAAACTGAATTGTCTCTAGAATTTTAAGAACAAGGTGAACTAGGTAACTCAAACTTCAGAAAAGAAAACCACAGAGGTGACAATATTTGACTATCATCTCTGACATGTAATTTCTAAAATCCTTGGACATCCCTAAGTTATAAGAACAATTAAGATAGGGCCTGAAGAAATGATTCAGCAGTCAAGAACACTGGCTGCTTTTCCAAAGGAGTTGGGGTCAAATCCCAGCACCCACATGATAGCTCACAGCTATCTATAACTTTAGTTCCAGAGGACCCAATGCCTTCTGGCCTCTGAAGCCACTGGGCACACATGATGTACATCAAGACAAAACACCATATACAGAAAGATTTGTAAATGTTTTTAAAGAACAATTATCTTCTTACAACAAACCCCCTTTGTCAATGAAGTAACATTGGGAAGACCTTCGAACCGTGGGAGCTGGTTGCCAGGGAAACTAAAACTCAGTGCCACTCTGCCCCAACTTGACCTCCAAGAAAGAAGAGCTGGAGATAAAGTTCAAACATTAATGGCCAATGATTTGTTAATATATTAACATATATGTATGATTATATAAATATTTTAACAAATATGCATATACATATTATATATATATATTTCTATCTATTAAGGAATTGTTAAGGAACCTCTCCAAAAGCCTACAGGCCGGGGTTCAGAGCATCCGGCTCTTGAAGTTAAAAGATGGCACTCCTGAAGAGGAAAGGCCTGCCTCTTCTTGTCACGTGCATCTCTTCTGACAGCTTGGGTTGTATTCTTTTTCAATAACCGCTGATCTGCTAAGTAACATTTCTGAGTTTAGTGGGATCCTTGGAGCAAGTGATCACACCTATGGATGGGTTTATAGAGAAAACTTCTGACACATCATCAGGCCAAAGCACCAGTGAAAAACATACAGTCATTGGCTGAAGCCAGAGGGGTCGCTCAGGACTGAGACCTTCACCTAAGGGCTCTGTGATAATTCCGTCACAAGTTGCCCTCTGGCCTCCACATGCACCGTGGCACATGTGCACACACAAAAAAAATGTAAATAATTTGTTTTTAGAGTTTTTAAAGTTGCTGATAACACACCTGACATTCTGTATGCTGGCAGCAGATACTCTCTCCCCACCCCCCAAGACAGAGTTTCTCTGTAGCCTTGGCTGTCCTGGACTCACTTTGTAGACCAGGCTGGCCTCGAACTCACAGAGCTCCGAGTGCCTCTACCTTCCTAAATGCTGGGATTACAGGCATGTGCCATTGTGCCTGGCCTGTGTACTTATTTTTATGCATGAGTTGCCATTATTTCCTTTCGGCACTTAACACTGTTTCTTCTTTATTTTTATTTATTTACTTATTTTTGACAACTTGAATGTGTTGAGAGAGGTTCTTCTCTGACCATATCCTTTGGAAGTTTAAACACGCTGCATTTGGATGTCTATTTTTTTTCTAGAAGATCCGTGATTCACTGGATAGATGCTCTCTTTCTATCTTTGTTTCCTCTTTTACCCTGTATATTCTTAAGTTTGGTTTAATGACCATATCCTAGAATCTTAGACGTTTTGGTCATGCTTTCGTGTTCTTTGATTTGCTTGGTTGGTTTGGTTTGGTTCTCCTTATTGATGTTTGCATGTATTTCCTTGACCATATTCTCCATCTCTTAACATTCTTTCTTTAGCATGCTCAAATATTTTCATTTTTCCACCCTATTTTTAATTTGTTCATTGAATTTTTTATTTCCAGTTTTTTTGTTTTGTTTTTCTCAATTTCAATGTCCATGCTTACCTTTTCTTCCATCCTGCTACTTTTTCATCCACAGTACTGAGAACACCCATTTGGTGACTTTTCTCCTAGGGCCTCAATGAATTTGCCTTTTTTCTATCCTCTTTGAGGTCACTGGTCAGTTTTACTGCTGTGTAGCAGTTGTGGGGGTTTTTTTGTTTTTGTTTTTGTTTTTTTTTTTTTTTCTTCATTGCTGTAACAAAATGACTCAACAAAGGCAACTTCAGGAAGGAAAGATTTGCTTGGGCTCAGTCTGAGGATGCAGTATTTCCTGGCAGAGAAATTAGAGCACCAGGAGTGTGAGAGGTACACACACACACACACACACACACGGAACAGAGTGACATAGTGTACAGCCACTTTCTGCTCTGTGTAGTGTGTGCAGGTGTGTGTGAAGATGCAGAGGACAGAGGTCAACACTGGATTTCTTCCTCATTGGCTCTTTACCTGTTGTCCCTCAACTGAAGAATGAATACAGAAATTGTGGTACATTTACACAATGGAATCCTACTCAGCAATTAAAAACAAGGAAATGATGAAATTTGTAGTCAGATGGTGGGAACTAGAAAAGTCATCCTGAGTGAGGTAACCCAGAAGCAGAAAGAATCACATGGTATATACTCACTTGTAAGTGGATATTAGTCATATAATATAGGATAAACATACTAAAATCTGTACACTTAAAGAAGCTAAGCAAGAAGGAGGACCCTGGGTAAAGATGATCAATCCTCATTCAGAAAGGCACATGGGACAGACAATGGAAGAGGGAGAAAACAGGGAACAAGACAGGAGCCTACCACAGAGTGCCTCTACCCAGCAAGGTATCAAAGCAAATGGTAAGACTCGTAGCCAAACTTTGGACAGAGTGCAGGGAATCTTATGAAAGAAGGGGAAGATAGAAAGACCTGGAGTGGACAGGAGCTCTACAAGGAGAGCAATAAAACAAAAAAAATCTGGGCATAGGGGTCTTTTCTGAGACTTATACTCTAACCAAGGACCATGCATGCAGATAACCTAGAACCCTGCTCAGATGTAGCCCATGGCAGCTCAGTCTCCACATGGGTACCCTAGTAATGGGAACAGGGACTGTCTCTGACATGAACTCAATGGCAGGCTCTTTGATCACTTCCCCCTGAGGGGGGAGCAGCCTTACCAGGCCACAGAGGAAGACAATGCAGCCAGTCCTGATGAGACTTTATAGGCTAGGGTCAGATGGAAGGGGAGAAGGACTTCCCCTATCAGTGGACTTGGGAAAGGGAATGGGAGAAGAGGGAAAGAGGGTGGTGGGGTTGGGAGGGGACCAGGGAGGGGTCTACAGCTGGGATACAAAGTGAATAAACTATAATTAATAAAGACATTTTTTAAAAAATAGGATGTACATAGAACATGCAGAGCCTAGGATACCTCAATGTTTCCCAATTCTAGTCATTCTATAAATCTTATTTTTCTTTATGGCTGAATCAAATTGCATTGTGTATATCTAACATATTGGGCCTTGTACATGTTTTGTTGAACAACTAGGGCAGACAGTATATGGTAAAATTGTAAACATTTTTATTAGATGCCAAGCATGTATGTGTATTATTTTGTTACATGGTCTTACCACATAGCCTAGGTTACTCTTCAAGTTCTAATCCTCTTGGCGGCTTCCCAAGTGAGGAGATGAACCACAACAGGCATTTTTCTTCTCATTAATTTATTTCACACCAGGCTTTATATTGTGTCTTGGTGGTGGCTGAATATCTTAATTGTTCTGTGATCAATCTTTACCCTTCTAAGACTTAGTTTTTAAGTTTTGTTCAAGATTTGTTTCATTTGTTTTTACGATTCTTTTCTGGACTTAACAAGATTTTCTTGGTTTTCTAACCCCAAATTTCTCAACCTCACTACAAGCCATCTGTGGCTAATACAGTTATGCATTGTACACTGTTTAGCTACCTCTCTGGCCTTTACCCATTAGATGCCTTAGTGGCCATATTTCCTGGTGTGACAAACAAAACTGTGTTCAGACACTGCTGTATCTCCTCTTTGCGCAATGCCCTGGGGGTTATGAGGTCTACTTTGGCCTTGTGAGTTCTAGTGGTCCTCAATCCTGAGGATTTTCTTTTCCCAGTTTCACATGTGCTCATAACTATTCAAATTCCTGGGCAAAATCTTCTGGCAAATACACCCTTTCTGCGCATTTTCTCCTGGTAGGCTGTGTCTTGCATCCTGAAAATGATAGCCACATTGGACTTCTGGGCCCATTTTTCACTTAGAGAGACCAGTAAGCTTTGCTCTTCCCTCTCCATGTGGTGGCCTAGAAACTCCAGTAATAACAAGGACCCAAAGTTATACACACACACACACACACACACACACACACACACACATACATGTGTGTATCTTAGGGTTTCTATTGCTGTGGTAAATCACCATGACCAAATGCAACTTTGGGAGTAAACAGTCATTCCCACTTAGACTTCCACTCATAGTTTATTATGGAAGGAACTCAGAGTGGGAACTCAAACTGGGCAAGAACGTGAAGGAGCAGACTTTGGAGGAGTGCTGCTTACTGGCTTGCTCACTCTTCGCTGAGCACACATCCTCAGGTCATCCAGGGCTACCTGACCAGGGGTGGCACTACCCACAATGGGCTGGGCCCTTCCATCAAACGCCCTACAGTCTTGCATAAGATTCCCTGAATCAGATATTGGTCTTATACAGTGAATAAAATGCCCTCACTCCCCAAACGCATGTTGGGTAAAGATAACCGTGAAGGGCTTCTAAGACCACATACACAAGTTTGAAGGCAATGCCCTAACAGAATGTTAGCTAGGTACAGCAGTGTGCTGGCGGTCCACATGACACAAGCTAGAGTCATTTTTGAAGAGAAAATATCAATTGAAAAAGTGCCCCCACCACACTGACCTGTGGGCAGGCATTTTGTACATCTTCTTGATGACTGACAGGGGAAGGCCCAGTTCACCATGTGCTAGGTGCTGTATGAAAGCTGCCTGAAGAAGCCATTAAGTAAAAGCCTGTAAGCAGCATTCCTCCATGGCCTCCACTTAGTTCTTGCCTTCAACTCCTGTCTCTGAATTAAGTCAGGGCAGGAACTCAAATAACCTAAGAGTTGTAGGATGGAATAAACCTTTCCTACCCAAGTTGCTTTTGGTCTTATCACAGCAACAGAAGTTCTCACACAAGCAGATTTGGCAGTTTCACACACCTGGACCCAAATGAATCTGGAGAAAGAACTGTTGGAAGCAGTGTATGAAAACTTGTTCAGAAATGAAAGTCAGCATTCAGGAACTGTCAGAATGCTAAGAATGTGAGTGGGGCGTGAATTGGGGAGGGAAGGCAGAATAACAGATGCCAAAGGTTGACAGTGCCCAAATCATAGAAGGCCACGCTAATTTTATTAACTTATATAATGCATGAGGTCTATAATTTAAAACCACTAAGGTTTTCCACAAATCAGTAAGAAAATACCTATATTAATCGGGACAAAAGCCAAAAACAATTATCTTAAAGAAGAAATGGACTTTATTGGCTCACAAAACTTTAAAGTCCAGAGGTAGGGCAGGCTTTAGGCACATCTGGATCTAGGACCTCCAGAAAATGGTATTAGAACATGGTTTTCTCACCGTCCCTGCTAGCCTGAGTTCTTCCTTGGATACTTTCTTTATATAGGAAAAATGCAGGCTCACATTGTCCTTGGGTGTCCAATATCTCCAAAGGCCTTCTTGCCAGTAGTTGCAGTTCTGCTGAACACTCTCCTCAGCCTGCTTTAAGTTGCTGCCCACTCATCACTGTGGTCAGGATGCTGTGTGGCTCAGGAGGCCAGGCCTGCTCATGTGCTCATCAAAGCCATATGGAATGGGTTAACCACAATAAATAAGAATACTGTTACCGTAAATGAAGAAATGCTGAACAGATACCCACACATAACCCAACATAAAGGCAGAAGATGGTATGAATGAACAATCCTCAGAAAATTATAAATGACCAATAAACACAAAAAGAACCCAACTTCATTATTCATCACTAAAATGCAAATAAAAATTTTTTTTTGCCCTAATCTCTTCCTAGAAAGATAAAGAGGATCAAATGTAGGTAAGGCTATGTGGGGAAATGAACACTTTTCAGAGTTGATAAAGATGGCACAGATGTCTTTTGGAAGACCAAGACTATCTGACAGCAAATGTTTTACAGCCAACCTTCCACCTTACAGGAATTTAAAGACTATATAAGATGAAGATACCTTAAAATTCATATAGAACCCTGCTTGTTTAAAAGGTGTCCACATTTATGTACATTCACATAGAAATGTGTACAGTAAGTTGGAAAGTGGAATCAACCAGAAGCCCTGGGGGAAAATGGTCTTTATGCTTACATTTGTCTATCTTAAGTCTGGTATAAACTGTACTCATTTATACTTTTTTCATAAAGAAAGTAAGAAATGGGCAAGGCCAGAACAGGACATAAAAATAGCCAAAAATGTTCTATCTCACTAATAAAGGCACAGCAAAGAGATGGAAAAAAGAACTGGCCTGTAAGATGAGCGAAACATTTTTAGGATGCAGCACTGACAGAGTGCGGGCAAACATTCTTACCATTAATGGAGTTATAAAATTAGTATTAGTTGTATTTCCCCCCAAAATGTCAAATATGTATTTTCTGAGCCAATAAATCCATTTCTAGCTATTTGTGTTAGAAAAACAACTATAGGTAGCACAATGTATGTCTACGGATGTTAGCCATACCTGTTATGTATGAACCGACTAACCCATCAGAATGGGAGTTGTTCAAATGGACTGTAAGCGTATTCATGCAACCGAATGCTATGTAGCTATGCAAATGTCCACATCAGTGTGGAGAGGGAAAGCAAGTTTCACTTTAGTAGATATACAATGGAGATATGTAATGACTTCAGGTTTGCTAAGGACTAAAGCATAGAAAAGTACTTTAGTTGGTGCCCCAACTACACCCCAAGGGTCAGCTATTATTTTAAAAGGTGTTTGCTTAAACGTGTATACAGCTAAATTTGGAAGGACAATAAGCCATACTACTACCATTTCTGGCTAAATCTTTTTTCATCTTTTGTTTCTGCATTATGAAAAATTCAAATAGACATATAACAGTTTTCAAGTTTGTTAACTGAAAATAACAAAAGATGTTGTGCTTACTTAACAGGATTTAAATGCCATCGCTCTAGACAGAACGATCAAAACACCTGGCCTTGGGAGTCCACAGAATTGTTTAAGCTCTGACTGATACTTCCTAGTCACATGATCGTTGGATCTTGTTTTTCTAGTCCACAGATCTAGGTGAGACTGGTATCCCAAGCCAAAAGCTCAGACAGATGTAAGACAGGCTACTAATGGTCAAGTATCAATGAGGTGTGAATGCACAGAACCACTAAAAGCCACTAAACAGTCTGTTGGGCCAGTGAGTGTGCATGTTCCTCTGCTAACCAGAAAGGTGTTGGTTAGGAAACTGCTTGGACCCGAGGCCTAGCCAGTCAGTTAAGTAGACATCCCATCACTTCCTATCCCTGTATCACCAGGGTAGACCAGTACCCTTCCCCCACACAGCCTTGTCTGAGCTTCCTTCCCAACAAGTACACAGGTGTCAGAGCAGGCAAGACAACACATTCACCAACTCTTAACGCACAGCTTTGGCCATCGTGACAAATTTACCCCTGAAATTGTTAAGACTGACATTCCACCCCGAGAGGTTACTCTCCCTACCTACTCTGAGTTCTGTCATCCCTGCAGTCTTTTACATGTGGCACCCCAAAATCCTACGGGAAGGAAGCCAGTCATAATAAATAAGGAAAGCAAATCCAGGCTACTTTATCTCGGAGCAGAGGAGTTTGCAGCTTTATTGGACATTGACTTGTTTCCTCTCAGCCACAGAGAAAAGACCCAAACAAAAGTCCCTACATTTTCTTGTATAACTTAAAAATACATTATAGCATTACTACATATTTAGACTTCAATAAATCTTAATCTATAAAGCACATTTCTTATAATTGTTATCAGAAAAATCTATAAACAAGCTTCATTCTGCCTCACTTTACCAGCTGGCATTGCATTTATTACTGTTTTTCAACAGGCTCACGCAAAAAAAAAAAAAAAAAAATCTCATTTTTCACCTTAAAAATCAACAAAGCATCAGATATAACCCAAATCACTGGATCTATGAAATATTTGTACTTGCATGGATCATTTTCCATGTAACAATGCCTGTCTTACATAAAAACGCCTTTTCTCATACTCAATGCTTTAACTTCCAGAGTTTTCCATTAAACAGTAGAACCACAGTACTTGGATTCGTAGCCAAAGCATTCAGAATCCTATTACTAAAATGTATTATTTTAATACTTTTTAAAAAAAAATGTTAAGACTGTAAATTTAAAAAAAAATCAATTAACTCTGCCAGTTAATAAACTAGTTATTAATTGTCTAAATGTTTAAACTTAATGTGCAGTTAGAACCACAATGCTACTACAAATTATGTTTGGACTTTTAAGCTTCATAAGCTTTCAAACTAAAAGAGTGCATCTTGAGCTCACCTCTGAAGAATGCTAAGAGCTGACTTGCTGCTAGCTCTCGAGCTGATGTCTCTCCCTCCAAACACACACATTAGTAAGAGAAGTACAGCTCTGGGAATCTTAGAGGTGACCTGGGAATGCTGATGGGGAAACCCCTTGTGACTTACAGAGAAACAATTACCTACTTATGGTAGGATTACAGTACCTAGCACAGTGCATTGTCGGTAGAAATGTTTAATAAATGTATGGCTGTTTTAGCCTGGTGCTCAATCCTTTTCTACCAAAGGAATAAAAATAGCAAACCTGATATTGCTGCCCCCAATCAAGGAATTTCCTGTCCTTAACTAGGATGAGGGCAAAATGAGTTAGGTTTTTGAGTTTTTTCTAAAAGCCATAATTACCTTAACTTTACATTTGCCTTTCAACACCGGCATTTACTACAAGTTCTTCCTTAGTGTTATATTTACCATCACTTTTACGATGGTCTATTTTTACACAGGAAAACTGTTTTAATTAGTAAGATACCCACAAGTTGGGTAAAGTCAGTTTTTTGTTTTGATTTCCTGCAGGATGACTGTATTTAACTGATACACTTCAATGTGTAACTTCCCCAATTTCCCCCTTTCACTCTTTGCAGTTTTGCTACCATCACTCATCCAAGATCTTAAGGCTCATTTGACTTTGAGGCTTTGGCCAGCCTTCATCCTCTATTTTCTCAAATATACTCAAACTGAACAAAAGGAAACAGTAAACTTTCAAAAGATGTTTTTAAGTGCTTGAAGATGGGCTTTCAGATTATACAATTCCTGTGTTGCCTTTTAAAACAGAAAGGTGTGTACCTTTATAAAACAACACTCCAATGACCAACATAGAAATAAAGTATCTGTCTGAAAAAAGGAAATTGTTAAAAAAGGGACAAGGAATCAGGTAGCTCATTACTTGGGAAGAAAAAAAAGAAAATATAAACATCACATGGAAATTTTTAGGTATTAATACCTGAATTATTTAAAATTTCAGTTTCTAGGAAGGTATAACACCATTTCTTTCAAGATGATAATGGTAAATGAAGATTTTGTTGTTGTTATTATTTCCTGGTGGATTTTTCCATCAACAGGAAAAACTCGTTTCTGTATCACTTCATGTTTTTAATTTTGTCTTCATTTCTGAAGAAAAAGACCTGAGTGCTGATTGTTTCCTCCTAATTTCTTAAACCTTCACAACATTCAAAAGTTTTTCTGCATTGTGTCTTCTCTGATGTCTAAAAAGATTTGAGCTTTGACTATAGGATTTCCCACACTGAACACATTCATAAGGTTTCTCTCCAGTGTGGATTCGCTGATGATTAATGAGCCCCGAATTCTGGCTAAAGGCTTTCCCACATTCAAGACATTTGTAAGGTTTTTCTCCAGTGTGGACTCTCTGGTGTTGCACAAGGATGGAGCTCCTGCTGAAGGCTTTCCCACACTCCACACAGCCATACGGTTTCTCCCCACTGTGGATTCTTTGATGAAGAATAAGGGCTGAGCCCTGACTGAAGTGTTTTCCACATTCGTCACATATGTGTTGTTTCTTTCGAGAGGGATTTCTCTTTCTTTCAAACCTGCCCTTGGGAAAACAGGTTTCTCCATATTTAAAAATCTGAGGAACACCTATATTAAGAGTGCCAGGAACTTCATGAGATTCTACTGCTGAAGCCATCTCCTGCTTTGGAGCCAGCGCTCCATTTTCTGTCCTAGCATCGTCATCTGAAATAAAGAGAAAAGGTAAAATTTCACTCAGTTCCTAGTTGGAGAGAAAAGAACTTGAAGAAAAAAAAATGGGTATTGTTGTATTGAGACAAGATCTCATTATGATGCTGTTGCTGCCCTGAAACTTGCTATACAGACTAGGCTGGCCTCAAATTCACAGAGATCTGCCTGCCTCTGCCTCCCAAATGCTCGGATTAAAAGTGTGTGCCACCACGCTTGGCAAAAAAGCTTTCCATGAACTAAAAGTAAACAGCTTATGCACATCTATGAAAATATAAAGTTGACTACTCTCAGAAAAGGGGAAAAAAGGATCCTTCAGAGGACCTAAGTTCAGTTCCTAGTACCCACGCCGAGAGGCTCACAGCACAACTCCAGCTCTAGGGGCTCCAACCTCCTCTGACCTCTCTGGGCACCTGAACAAGCAGCACACACACACAGACGTATAATATAAACATTAAAAATGACAGAATACCACCAAAAAGATTATAAATAAAGGAGGAAAATCAAACAGATATGACTAGGTCTGAAAAACTTTGGGGAAAAAAAAAAGCAATGGCCATTAGAAATGATTTTTAAGACTTTACATCAAAATAAAACCATAACATAAAAAAAAATCTGTTATAACAGTAGCTACTACTGAAATAAGTCAGTGTGTCACAGCCAATACTCAAGTGAAAGCAGAACAAAGGAGTCCTGATGAGAATAAAAGGGAAAGAATTGGGTGTGGTGGCACACACCTTTAACTCCAACACCCACAGAAAGCAGGGGAAGGCAGATGTCTGACAATTCAAGGGCAGTGCAAGTACCAGTCAGGGCCACAGAGTAAGACCAAGTATCAAACAAACGAACAAAACAAATGACTTGAGGGCAGCCTATGTTGACTAAAGCCATGGCACTTAAAACTTAAACACACAATAAATGAAAAGTTCCCTATGAAAGAAACTCGCCCCAATTTGGTATGTGTCGTGACAGCTAGAAAAATTGTTCAAGTCTTAGTAAGATGTGTCTAGAAAAAGAAAAGCATCAATTTTATAAGTGACAGCACTGTCTCCTCGCAGGCAGTGAGGTAAGAGCAAGCCTCACTAACAACTGCCTTGAATCGTTAAGCAGTGTGGACAGCTGACTCACGGAGTAGCAGCACAAAAAAGTGGCCAAAGACAAATGGTGAAGACAGGGAGACCCGCAGGCCTGAGGGACGTGAAAAATGAGGTTGAGATACTTGAAAAGTCAAGTATGAAGAATAAGTTGGGGACATGTGACATGAAATAAATGGAACTTTCTGAATGTGAAAGTGACTATTACTAAAATGAAGCCAACAAAAGAAAACAGTCTAAAATTTAGGGAGGGGACAAGTTTTCTAGAGGGTACATCTCCAAAGAGCAACTATAGTTCTTGAACTAACTCACTGAAGAACATCCAATGACAGGTAAAACCAGTGTTGAGCAGACTGTACCTATAACTCCGTTCTGATCTCTAGCACCACTCTCTCACAGGGAAGAATGTTGCTCATATCTTAATTTGTGGCAGGCTAGTATTACCGCTAGCTCAAGGACTGATTCCTGAAGCAATCTCAAACAAGACTTCATAGAAACAAACTGCAGAACAGCGATTTTGGTGTACTAGGTTGTATAAACAAGTATCCAGCATTAAGTACCAGTATATTGGAATATGGAGGAATTTTAATTTAGCAACATGGCTGCTCTGGCAAGGGATTACATCCAAACTAAGGATAGATGCACTTTTAATCCCAAACAATGAAGACAAAGTTAGTTTATAAAAGGAAGCAGCCATATTTGAAAGTGATGTCTAATTGAGGGGGCAGACAAAGTGAAGAATCAGAGAAAGATTTGAAAGAATGAGTCAGAGAGAAGACACACCCAATTCTCAGAAGAAAAGGAGAGAAAACAGAGTCTACTTCAGAGCATCACAGGGAGAAGAAAAATTTTTGCTTAGAGTTTTGTTTTTAAAGCGGGACAGGTATATAGAAACAGGTTACAGAGAGAATAAGCTAACCACAGGTGATGACAGAACACACCAGAAGATTTAAAAAAATGGCAGAATTAGTTTAAGGCCAGGCAAAGCAATTCAGTCAGAAGCAAAAGAAGCCAGTTTGAATCAGTCATCTTGGAGAGGCATTTGGGTCAGAACAGCTGAGTTGAACCAGCCAGCAAGAGTTCAGAGAGAGAGAGAGAGAGAAAAAAAAAAGAGTTCAGAAAGAGCAAGAAAGGCTTGGGAACAGTTCTCTTCTCATCCTCTTGTCTTATGAAATAAAAACATTTATAGGAACAAAAAATTTGAATGGATTATTACAATTATGATATTTTGAGACTTCTGCTTTTAAATCATATTATAGCTTGGGTCCCTATTTTGAGTAAATATTTTGAACAAGTGAAGAATTTACCCTCCTATCATTTGTGGGTTGTTTGTTTTTTAATGATTCAGGGTTCCATAGCACATACTGCTCCATAGAATCCAATGTTCTCTCCTGACCTCTGAGAGAACCTGCACTCACATTCACATACTTGTACGCAAGTTACATATAATTTTTTTAAGATAATTTTTTTTAAGTTTCTTAAAAGGGTTGGAGAGATGGTTCAGTGGTTGACTATTAACTGCTTTTCCAGAGAACCCAGGTTTAACTCCCAGCAGCTCACAACCATCTGTAACTCCAGTTCCAGAAAATTTGGCAACCTCTTCTGACTTCCAAGAGCATCCAGCATGCACATGCTACACAGACACACATGAAGGCAAAGTACCCATACAAAAAAATAAATATAAGGGGAAAAAAAAAAAAGACTCTAGGTAGAATATTGAAACAAAAAACAGGAAAAATTTTAGGAAAACTTCAGTAATACAATAAACAAAAAGGTTGAAAACATCAAATAACTCCATTGTATCAATGTGGTTAGGCAGACTAAAAGCAAAAGAGCTTAAAAGAGATGACCGATAAGCATGAACAAAACAGACATGGTCTACAGTTATTGGCTGAGAAAGAAAAGCTAAAATGTTAATGTCTAGGAGGAAAAACACCTGAGGCCAGTGAATCAATCATCATAAAAAGTCAAGCTCTTAATGGTATAGGTATTTCTAAAATAGCAGATTAAAAGTGTTTTGCCACAAGAACAAGCAAAGCACTCTGGGAAAAGGCCACATGGTATTCTGGTTCTTACCACAGTGCCTCAGAGAGTGGAGTTCCCAGGATGCCAACTTGAGCTGGTTTTCTACAGCATCAAGCTCGGAACTTGGTAATCCCTGAGTGTCTTCTTGAGATGCTATCTCTTCAACAAGCACTTCCCGTTTCCGGCGACGGAGAGAAACCTGAAAACAAGATTTTAGTTTCGTTGAGAAGGAATTTTGATACTAAGCACATGTAAGAGAAACCACACAAAAATACACTGGAGTCCTAGATAGCAGTGCAGCATAGGCACTGCAGAGCACCAGTGAGCTGCAGGGAGTCATAGACATATTCCAATTCAGCATTGCCGACTGCTAGGTCAGTGTGTCTGACTTGGGAAGAATTAGGCAAGCATGCTCACCGGCTGTCCAGGGTCATCGAGTTCACTCTCCAAGTCCTCTAGAACGGTCACTGCCTCCTCTCCATTCTCTGGGTGGTGTTCTCGAACCCAGGTCTGTAGCTCCTTGGGTAGGATGGCAACAAACTGCTCCAACACTACCAGCTCCAGTATCTGCTCCTTTGTGTGTGTCTCTGGTCTGAGCCACAGGCGGCAAAGTTCTCGAAGCTGGCTCACAGCCTCTCGGGGTCCTGGTGAATCCTGGTATCCAAATTGCCTGAACCGCTGTCGGAAAACCTCTGGGTCAGGGATATGGTTCCAGGAAATGCTTGATCCCTCTTCACCATCAGGATCCTCCTCTAGTTTCACCCTCAGAATTTTTTCTTCTTCATCTGGATTTGGGATGATAAGTATTGAATCTTCTTCCACCGACTGTGTCGACATCCTGTTACAATACTTCAAGAAAAGGCAATCAAGGCAGGATACAGACCTCAGAGAAATACCGTTTCCCTTAAAGGTACTCCTAAGGTACAAGAAATAAAAGACACATAAATCAATCACCACGTACCTCAGATATTCAAAATCAGCAACAGATGTGTTGTTTTACTGAATGAAAAGTTCCAATCAGTGGCCTATATTGATTGAAATACTACCATAGTTGGTAAACTACAGCCAATCTGGCTTGCTGCCAATTACACTATCCATAGTAAAAGTAGTGTAAAGATTTAAATGGCTAAAAAGCATAGAAACATTTCATGACGGGAAAATAAGATGTATTTATCTAGGGCCAGCAAGGTCACTAGCAAAAGCCTGCTGCCAAACCTGATGACCTGAGTCCAATAAGCAGCATGCACATAGGAGAAAACTTACTTCTACAAGTCTGGCGTCCACAAGTGAGCCATGACACATACATACACATGCACGCGCGCGCACACACACACACACACACACGTATGAACACCCACAAATAAATGTAAAAATATTTTAAAATGTTTAAAAAATGATTTTTATGTGCATTGGTGGTTTTTCTCACGTCTGTGTGAGGGTGTCAGATCCTTTTGAACTGGAGTTATAGACAGTTCCAAGCTGCCATGTGGGCGATGGGAATTGAACATGAGTTCTCTGGAAGAGCAGCCAGTGCTCTTAACCACTGAACCATCTCTCCAGCCCCACACTGTTTTTAAATTTGGGCTCTATAAGTCATTAAATTTAACCATAGTTCAGGCTATCATGGTAGAGTTGACAGCGTTCAACAATTTCAGCTAAGATCTAAAACAACTCAATATTTAGTATCTTGCCCTTTCCAGAAAAAGGTTGCCCATCTGTGACATACAGTCAACAAAAGGCAACTTAATAACCTACAGAATCCAGGTAAGAATCAGCCTAACTCAGTGTTCGTCAACTGTTCTGAACCCTTGGGGGCTCAAGAGGTGGTTCAGCAATTAAAAACACTTGTTGCCTTTGCAGAGGACCAAGGTTTGATTCCCAGTACCACAAAACTCTCTTCTGACTTCCTTTGGCCCCAGGCAGACACATGGTGCTCCTATACATATAATAACTAGATATTCAGAACTGTGGGACACTAAAAAACATGTTTTTTTGTCATTTATTTTGTGCTTGTACATTTCAACACAAGTGTGGACATCAGAAGGCAAGATGCAGTAGGTTCACTCTGATATGTGGAGTCTGGGGGAGCAAGCCCTCTACTTGGTGAGCCACCTAGCCCACCCATTTTTTGTTTCTGGTAATCTGGAGTAGAAAACAGGTCAACTGCGCCCCCC